TGAGTTAACAGCAGTTAGCAAATAAAATAAAAGAATAATAATTAAATACAAATAATATTTTTTGAGGAATTTCCCGTTACTGACTCCAATTTCACTCCAGCTGCAGTGCTGTGAAAGTATCTGTGAGAATGGAAAGAACCTATCCAAACTTACCTGTGGAGACAAAAGTAATTGCCCTGCTATTATTATTATTGTTATTATTATTATTATTATTATTATTATTATTATTATTATTATTATTATTATTATTATGCTGATGCAGGAACAACACCAACACAGGGACACCGTCGCTCATCATGAGAATCGGAGCCGTGGCCTCAACATAAGGTTAAAAATACCTCAGTCACCACAGCCATAAACACACGGTGCAGCCTGACAGATTAAGCTGGTGAGCTGCTGATATTTGGTTCTGAACTATTTTACCTGCTTGGTATTTTTTCTTATTTGCATTTAGTGTGACCTGGTGTTGTGCTGCTGGAGTCGTAGTTTCTCTGAGGGGAAACTTGTCCACGTCTGCTTCAGACAAAAATGAATGTTTCACTGGTCCCAGTGAGCACAAAACTCGAGGCAATTTGTGTTTGTTCAGTCTTTTCTTTGTTGTAACTATGCTTCTTGGCTATAAAGGTCTTGCTGCTGGAAAGCCCGTTTATTTCCCCTTCAATGGTGTCACGTTTGTAAGGAAAATGTGGGTTGAGCAGCAGAGTTGAGTATGTGGGCTGTGGCCATGAAAAACTCGTCGAATGTTCTCTGCCAATGCCGGACAGCTTATTCTGCTACTGACACTTGTTGGGTGTCATTTACTGAATTCTGAAGAATATCTGCAATTAAACGGTTTATTCTTTTAACAAATAGGGGCCTCAGTAACACGTGGAAGGACCATACTGATGTCTTTAACGAACACCTTTTATTGCTTGTAATGCACAGACACACCAACAGAGGGCAGTAATATCTCTTCAACATACATTGTAAAATTACTATTACAACACATACGCAGCCACAACAGCCTGGCAACTCCTGGTCACGCACTGCAACTCAGCCAGTGTGTGACCAAGGTGGTGTTGGGTTTTAGTTTATTCCCAAAAGAAAAATGAAAAGATATTCTGTAGAAAACATCCTAAACTGTTGTTTCCATAATGTGTCTAAAATCATGTATCACCCCATGTGTTTGCCTGTGTTCTGCGATCGCTACATGGCCTACTTCATTTTAACTGGTGTCCAGGTTGCGTGATGTCGAATTGTCCACAAAGACCTTCAGGTTAGAGTTGGCGAGCGGTGCGTCCTGTAGGTCAGGTCTGGGTGAACAGGCCGCTATAAAATCATGTGGTTAACCATCTGCTGCTGTGGGTTTAACACAGTCTACACAGACTCTACTAAAAAGTCAACCTGTTGTCCTAATGTGGCAGGTCTATGTCAGCAGTGGATGAACTCAGCATTTGGTAGCAAGTGCTTTTGTAAAGTTTTTCCATTTTTAACAGTGATGAGCGGTATGGCCATGTTTATGAGTGTTAGCTGCTCTCATTGCATGTGTGTGTGTTACTAGGTGGGTTAATGCATTCTCTGTCTGTCTGCTGTCTGCCTCTCCTGCAGTGCTGCAGCAGTTCATGGTTGTGAGATGTACATTGTCAGCAGTAGGCCTACTCAGTACTTTATATGGCCCCACCTGTTTGTATGCATGGCTGACAGTGCCAGGGCTCCTAAAAAGACGATGGTTGGATGTCCTGGAGGATCTCCTGGCAGACCTGGACCGGGGCATGCAACACTCCATGCCAGCTGGTGGAGGTAATGCAACATTTCATTATTTGCCAACCGCGAATAAAAGCTGGCAAGAAGAAGGAAGCCCGTAGCCAGACATATATTAATCAGTATTATGTCAAAATCTACACAGATGCATCAAAGAATACAGCCAACCAAAGCGGGATAGCATTTACTGTTCCTGAATTTAATATCAAAGTAAGGAAAAGGACCAGTGATGGTTTATCAGTATACACTGTTATACCAGTATACACTGGTTTATCAGTATATACTGGTGAAGGTTTTACAAAATCCAGAGGAAAACAGGAGAAATGAGAAGCACAGGAAGGAACAGGAGAGAGGCGAAGGTTATATCTCAACTTAGATTTGGACACATTGGTCTGAATAACACGTTGCTTTTAATAGAGAAATTCCGTACAGGGAGTGACTGCAGTAGAGAACAGGAAACAATAGAACATGTTTTAATGCATTGTCAGAAATATGATGCTGAAAGAAGACAGCTGATCAAAAAGCGTGAAAGTCAAACTGGTTGATTTATTTCGTAAGAATTCGAGAAGTGAAAGTTATAAGGTCATATTTTGGTTTTTAAGTCAGACTCATTTGTTCGGGAGGATTTGATTTTTTTTTTCCATTTCAGTCGACACTC